GTCCTGGGACCAGGTCTGAATTTGCTCTGGCGATTGTTGAGGTGCTGAGTGGCAAGAAGGTGGCTGACCAAGTGAAGGCTCCACTTGTTCTTAAAGATTAGAGCAGGAGAAGGTGCCCATGAGTTGGAGGAACAAACTGATTGTGATCCATTCTCACTGCATTCACATTCATCAAGTGACTGGCTAATGTGCCCCGAAGTCCTCACTGGTGCTTGTGTAGTTGTGAAGTCACAACGCTTAGCCTATGAGTTGTGTCTGTACATTTCTGAACCTTAATAGCAGAATAAACAGGGCATTTAGCAAAATAAATAAATAAATAAATATAACACTACACACACACATGCCGCAAAAAATGTTAATCTCATCTCAAGACACTGTCACTAAAAACTCAGAATGCTTGACCAAATATCTGGACAGCCTGTGGCCCAGTCACTTGACACATAAAATTAATTGCCACAGACCTACAGAAGATCTTGTAGAGTGAAAAATCATGTTGTCCTGTATGTTTTTTTAAAACATGGAGGTAAAATAGCAAGCATGCATGTTTGTTTATAGTCACATAAAGACATTCTGAAAGAATATGCAAAAACTAAAGATACAGTTTACCTGTTAGAGGTAGGTAAGGAATAAGGAGACTTTTCACTTTTTCTGTTTCTTTTTTTTTTTTTTTTTGAGAGTTTGTTTGTTTGTTTGTTTTGTTTTGTTTTGTTTTGCTATAGGGCACGTGCACTCACCAGGAAGACAGAGAGAGACAGAGAGACAGAAAGCGAGAAATCACCCCCTGGGGGGATGGCCATGCCGCAATCCCTTCTCCTCCATTCTCCTCTTGGGACCTTGGGCACGCACGCACACGCGCCCGGTGTGAAGGTTAAGACACCGAGTCTGGAACTTGAACCACGGTCGACTACATGGGAGTCCAGCAACATAGCCTTACGCTAACTACTGGTCCTGACTTTCTGTGTTTCTTAAAAAGCCATGTGTATGGTTTATCCAAAACATTAAATGCCTAATTTTAAATATATGCCTTTCTCTCCTACAGAAATGTGAATACTAGGGGAAACGAAACCTGTTTTACACGCATCTTTGTGCTCCTGGCTTTTAGTATATAATAGGCACTGAATAAGCATTGGAAGAATTAATAAATGAGCCAGATGAAGTCAGATTTAGTTTGGGCCAGAAAGGAGAGAGGAGAGAGATCAGCAGATGGTGTAATTGTTATGTCGCTAGACTCCTACATAGTTGACCACGGTTCAAGTCCTGAACCTGGAGGCTTAAAACATGCCGGGTGCACGTGTGTGCGTGCCTAAGATCCTGAGAGGAGATTGGAGGAGAAGGGATTGCAGTGTGGCAATCCCCCCAGTGGGTTATTTCTTGCTTTCTGTCTCTCTGACTCTTCGGTGAGTGCATGTGTCCTATAGCAAAAAAAAAAAAAAAAAAAAAAAAAAAAAAAATCCCCTATGAAAAAAAAAAAAAAAAAAAAACTCTCTTAAAAAGAGACAGAGAGGAAAATTGGGAACAGAGAGAGAAAGATGGCAGGTGGCTGTCAGAGAAGCGTAGGAAACAAGAGGAGTATCCAAAGAAGAGTTATAGAGTTATATATCATATAAACCACCTTCATAGTCCCAAGAAATATTCACCAAATGCTCTTGGGGTTTGACTGGTAGAGTTTGGGCATACTGGGCCAGGGACTCAAGGCAAATGAACCTCCAGGATTGTTACAGATTGGATAATGGCTTGTCTCCCGGAGTTTCACGTTTTGGTGTAATGGAGGTGGAAAGGCCTAGTGGGTGGTGATTGAATCATGGAGGTCCCAACCACACGAGTGGGTTAATGCTGTCTTGTGAGAGACTGAGTTCTAGCTCTCATGAGAAGGGGTTAGTTAGGGGTCAGTCAGGTGGTCCAGTGGTTAAGGTGGCTGGATCCCACTTGACTGACTATTCGGTTCAAGTCCTGGACTTGAAGCTTGAAAAACACAAGCATGCCCAGAATCCTAAAGGAGAATATAGGGATTGTGGCATATTCATTCCCCACATCACAGAGGGTGCTTACTCACTTTCTCTCTCCCCCTGTCTCTCTCTAGTGAGTGCATGCACCCTGTAACAAACTAAAAAATAAAAAAAAAGAAAAGAAAAGGTGAAGGGGTTGGCTATAAAAGGAAGTTGACTGCCCATGGGTTGCATCACCATACCCTGCCCCACTTCCTATTATCCAGGCCTCTCCACACCCCATTTCTGCCAGCCTCACATACAGGGGTCCATAGGTATGGTTACATACAGATAGGATGAAAGTTTCAGAGAATAAAACTCGCAAGACTTATTATAGACCATGGAGAGATTGGTGCTAGAGCTGGGGTCAGTGTGTATGAAGGGTTTGTAGTTGGTTTGGGGCAGGTAAAGGGTTGGGGGGAAGTCAACATTAACCTAAGACCAGGTTTAGTGCAGGGATGAAGCTCAGACCAAGGTCAAGAGAAGCGGCCAATTTTCATTTTTATTTATTAGGAAGCATATTGCTAAAGGGTGCTTGCCAGAGAGAGAGAGAGAGAGCAAGAACCTCCCAATGGGATGTGGTCATGTCACAATCCCTTGTCTATATTTACACCTTCTCCTGGATGTAAATTTGGGGCACGTGTACGCATGTGCCAATGTGTTTTTCAAGCTGCTAAGACTGAAATTTGAGCCAAGGTCAGCTGTGTGGGTTCCAGATCCCTTAACCTTTAGGCCACAGAGCCAGTCCAAGCATATTGATTGTAATAGTAACATTTTACTATTATTGAATTGGACTATATAAAATCTTTGGTTCATACAATTGTCTTCCCATCCGTCCACAAATGGCTCACTTGTGAACACCTATAAACCTACTGCCTGTCACAATGACTAAACCATCACAGACAACTTACTTCTACTCATGAGCTTCTTGTGTCTCTCCTCCTTGCTTCCTCTCAAAAGTAACCACTATCTTAGATTTTATCATTTCATTACTTTTCTCTCCTTTGTGGTAGCTTTCTTTTTTTCTTTTTCTTTCTTTCTTTCTTTTTTTTTTTTTTTTTTTTTTTTGGGTTTTTTGTTATAGGGCCCCTGCACTCACATGCACTCACCAGAAAGGCAAAGAGAGACCGAGAGACAGAAAGTGAGAAATCACCCCCCAGGGGGATGGCCATGCTGCAGTCCCTTCTCCTCCATTCTCCTCTTGGATCTTGGGCATGCATGTACATGTGCCTGGTGTGAGTTTAAGCCACCAGGTCTGGGACTTGAACCATGGTTGACTACATGGGAGTCCAGCAACATAGCCTTTACACCAACTGCTGGTCCCTCCTTGTAGCTTTCACAATGGCTTCCAGTAATCCTTGCTTTCTGGTATTTACATCCATGGATACTCCTTCTTCTGGATGTGGGCTGGACCCAGTGACTTGCTTCTAATAAATATAATAGTGCAAATGTGATAGATGTCACTTCCATGGTTACATGAGATAAGATTGTAACTTCCACCTTCTTAGCAGACTCTACTAAGCCTCTTCCTTGCTGGCTTTGATGAAGTGAGCCACTCTGCTGGAGATGCCCACATGGGAAGGAAATGAAGGCAAGTGCTGGCCAACAACCAGTCAACACTGAAGCCCATAGTCTGAGAGCCCACAGGAACTGAATTCTGTCAACAACCAGGTAAGCTTGGATCCTTTCCCAGTTGAGCCTTCAGATGAGACCACAGTTCTGGCTGATACCTTGACTGCAGCCTTTTTAGAAACCCTTAAGCAGAGAACCCAGCTAAGCCATTCCTAGACTCTTGGCCCACAGAAAATAGATAATAAGGATGCACTGTTTTTGGACCAGCAGTTGGCATAATGGCTATGTCACTGGATTTCCATGTAGTCAATCACAGTTCAAGTCCCCGACCCGTGGTTTAAACTCATGCCGGGAATGTGTGCATGTGTGCCCAAGATCCCTAGAGAAGAATGGAGGAGAAGGGATTGTGGTATGGCCATCCCCCCCCCGGGGGGATGATTTTTCGCTTTTTGTCTCTCTGTCTCTGTCTTTCTTTTGTTTGCATGCACCACACCCTATAGCAAAAACCTCTAAAAAAAAAGAAAGAAAGAAAGTACAGTTTTAAGTTGGGGGTAATCTGTTATGTGGTAACAGACAACTAATACAAGTTATTTTCAGTTCTTTTGCTATTACAGTGTTGCTATGAGTGTTGCCATTGATGTGTCTCCCAAAACACAGATCAGAAGAGCTCAAGTTTTCCCCTGGTAGGTACTGGGTATATGCCTAGGAAACAAATTGCTAGATCTCAGGATTTTAAAATGTTCAACATTGCTGGCAGTCTGCCGGCTATCAGAGTTGGGGGTCACACCATGACTGGTGCTTTGGTCAGGGTTGGAAGTAAGCTTGCTCTCAGGGCATGGGATTGGGCTCAGTGTGTGGTAGCACTGGAGTTATGACTCAGTCATGGGCCGGTTAAAGGTGAGTGTGAGAGATCATGGTGAGGGTGGGTTTAGGGATCACTCTAAAACCAGAGTTAGAAGTCAGGCTGTGGGACCAGCAGGTGGCCTAATGGTTTACATTGCTGGAGTCCCACATGGCCGACCACAGTTCAAGTCCCAGACCCAGAGGCTTGAAACTCACTGGGTACATATGCTTATGTGCCCAAGATCCCAGGAAGAGAATGGAGAAGAAGGGATTGTGGTGTGGCCATCCCTTCTGGAGGGTGATTCCTTGCTTTTTGTCTCTGTCTCTCTGGTGAGCACACGCGCTCTATAGCAAAAATCTCTCCAAATAAATAAACAAAAAGTCAGGCTGTCATGTGAACAAAGCCTGTTATTGTGAACAAAACCTGACTTCAAGTGATATCAGCAGCCTACCAAGCAGTGGTCAAAGAGGACCCAGCTGCCCTTAGGATGAAAGCCTCTCTGAGGCCCTAGGTTCTTTCATACCAGGTGCAGGGGGTGGGGCGGGGGTGGGAGCCTCACTACCCCCATGTATCCAGGCAAAAGAGAAGACAGGTGCAGAAAGATACCACAATGCCTTTAATAGAGCAGCCCTTTCCCATATCCCCCAAAACTACCAACAGCAGCCAGTGAGCACAGACGGTAGCTGGGATGGACAAAGCTGACATCTTCTGACCGATCCTACTTCTCACCCCTTCCTCTCCAGCTGCTGCGGTCTCCAGCCGCGAGCAGGGTCCCAGATGAGCACCCAGGAAGGACAAGGGAGCCCTTCTTCTGCATGGGCCAGCTTCCCCCATGGCTGAAGACATGGAGAGCTAGCCTGGATGGAGACGCAGCTGTCCTCAGAGCTGGGCAGGGACCCGGTTCTGGAGGCATGGACTGAGCCGGGAGACAGTCCCTCAAAGCCCAGGGCTGGGAGCTTTAAGGCTGGGTCCAAGGTGTGGGGCACTGCTTTGAGGAGCAGGCCAGATCTCTGCACGTGACTTCTGGGCTCTGGAAAGCGGTCCATTCTCCTGATCCGGGTGGAGTGGGAGGAGCTGGTTCAGTCCCCAACCTTGGCTCGGAGGGATCCTCTCCCACCGTCCCCATGCTCACCCCCATCCCAAGGGAAGGGGCGCTCGAGATCCGGGTGGCTTTGCGAGCAGCTGGCTCCGCCCTCCCTATCCTGCATCTGTCGGTGGATGGGTAGGTCACGATGTCTAGGCTCTGCCGGTACTGGGACGTCCCTGCGCTGCGGGTGCTGCCGCCGCTCACCGCTGCTTGCGCTCTGCCTGCTGGAGTCGCCGGGAGAGGTCATCGATGCGTACGTTCTTGAGCTGGAGCAGGTGTTCCAGGCGTCTCACCTTCATCTGCAGGACCTGGGCAGCGCCGCACAGAGGTCAAACCGCCGCACAGAGGTCAAACCGAAGGCCTGCTGCCTCCTGCTCCTGTTTCTCCAGGACCCAAGTTCCTCCGCTTACCTCCAGCGGTCCCAGTGCGCCCTCCCCTGCACGGTCCTTACCTGCACAGTCTCCTGCGAGGCCAATAGCTCTTGCTCCTTTTCAGCGATCTGGAGGACGAAGCTTGGGTCGCCCTGCGGCGCTTGGCTATACCCTAGAGGCCGAGGAGCTGGCGGTCGGGTCCCCCTGGGGTAGGAAGCAGCTTAGCGGAGGCCTGCACCTCAGCCCCGCCCTCACCTGGCCAGTGCCTCCACCTCTGCTCCCCACCTTCCCACTTGCAGCCTCTCCCCTATCCTCAGCTCGTGAGGACACCCCGAAGGCTGGTGGGATCAGAACTCCCAGCTTCTTTACCTGAGCTGGCGCCCTCCCTGGGGGTCTGGGGCACCTTCCCCTGGTGCCTTCTGGGATAAACCTGAGACAAAGAAAACGCAGAAGTGTTTGTACTAGACCCTCTTCTTGGGTCTCCCCCTCCCTCCCACTCGGGATCAAGCTGTAGAAAGGGCTGGAGAAAAGCCCCTCCTAGGAGGCAGAGAAGGGAGAGGCCACCTTACCCACATCCATGTATTCACTGCCATCCTGGGGAGCCAGCTCCTGAAAGAATCCCGGGCATCCACTGTGAGCCTGGGCTCACCCATCCCGGAGGAGCCCGTGTCCCTACCGCGGTCCTCAAAGCCAAGTCCTCTTTAGGCAGGCGTGGCGCCCCCACACTCATCACCAAAGCCCGGTTTTTCACCGCCTGGGATACTCCTGCGCCCGCCCGGAGGTAGAAGCAGCCCTAGCAGAGACACCTGTAAGGAGCCTGCGCCCTGTTTCC